TCATGTGGCTTGAGGAAAGCATAGTGTGCTTCCCTTACAAAATGAGGCCAATTCTCCTCCGGACCAAAGTCCAGTGTTCTTTACTTCTATTTGCCTGGCTGGGCTCAAGTCCCAGCAGGATCCCTTGAGGCCTGTGACACATAATGGGGTTTGCTGTACTTCAAAAGAACTGTTTGAGCTTTCAAATTCATGCAGAGAAATTCTGGGGAGTATGAGTGGCAATAGATTTTTAAAGTGCACAATAGTATTGGAATACAGGTATAATTTAAGCAGTTCAAAATTACTGGTGAGGCCCACAAAGCACTGTCTGTTGTACCTTAGGGAGCTGCAGAAAGGAAGACTCCCCCACCCCCAAATTATTTGATTGGCTGAAACATGAGCAAAATGTGACTGCAGTGTGTACACTTAATGTTCCGGACACACTTGGCTTAATATAAAATTGATTCAGAGGCTTAGAGAGACAGGAAATTTAGAATGGATTTCTTACCTTAAGCCTACATACCCAACCTGAGAGGTCCCAGGAAATACATTTTTACCATAACTATGAGAAGAAACAATTTTTGAGGGAGGCTGAGCATTTTAAAAAAATTCTGCAACGCTCTTTCTTTTGAGACTAGATAGTAAAGTAAGAGCTACGGAGGCTGAATTGAAAAAAAGAAAATGAAAATAATGCGGTGGGTTCCTCACATGGTGTGGACCAAGTGGCAACAAGAGTTGGCAAAGTGAGGTGACTGCAGTTTTGGGGTGATGGGGGGCGAGTAGAGCACTGGGCCAGGCCGTGCTTCTGAGCAGTCCTATTGCTCTGGCTCATTGGTCGTGGTGCTCAGAATGTGAAACACAAAGAAATCTTACTAAATTCTTATTTAATTCCTATGATCAGAAGTGGCAGGGGAAGTGGAAAAATATCTACTAGAATCATAAACACTGAGTTTCATGATCTCTCACACAATTCCTAGGCTTGAGCCAGTTTAGAACCAGGATCCCCAATGTACTGGGAAAATACAATGCTACACATCTTTTCCCTGGGCCTTTCCAGCATTTCTATGAACTTTTATCAGGGTAACAATAATCTAAGTGAAAAGATGACTAGATTTTTGGGACACTGACACTCGATCTGACCTGACACTTCATTAAGATTGCTTGAAGCTATAGTATATGAAGTTTTATCCAAATATCTCAAGGAAAAAGACAGACACTATGGTAACTATTATTCTTTAAAAAAATTATTTAGTTATTTCTTATGTTTATTTTAATTAAGGGAAAAAGTTAAAAAATTAGGATATATAATAGTAACTCTTTTCGATTTCCTATTAACTTGTTTTGAAGTCCTGTAATGCTCCCACGATCTTGTTTTGACTGATTAGACTCTGTTCCATTCTGTGGGATAGTATCAGGTCCGAGGGTATAGGCAACTACTTTGAAGGCAATAAGATTCACTAAGATGCCCATTCTGGTTTGACTATTGTCTCCTTTGGAAGTCCTGTAATGTTTACAATGTCTAAGTTTTATTGGTCTTGTTTTCTACTGTTTTGTCCAACTTTATAATATCTAATGAGATAGACAAATCTTTTTAAGGAAACAAGAGACAACGTTGATAACTATTGTTAATAACCGTATACTCTGTTCTACATCATGTGCTAAGTCTATCCTTGGTTTTCACTGACAGCTTTGTTCTGCCATATTTGACTTTATTCTCCCCCCCCAAAAAGTAATAAGAACTAAGGAGTAATAAAATCTAAAATGTGTAAATTTTGTTGTAAAAAGAGAGGAAGGGGAAAAAAGAGCTCTAACGGATATAACAGCAAGTGTGTATAGGGATGTTGAATAGCTGACTATATTAATGTTTTTGGATCATTGAACACAGCTGTTTGTAGTCTCTCTGTTTGAATGTCTACTTTGTATTCTTTGATACTGTGATTTGAGCAACTATTTCCAAGATGATAATATGTAATCTATTAACAGGTGATTTCTTACTGTTATGCTTTTTTTTGTAGTTCTGTATTATATGTAACCTTACACTGCTTTGTTTTGTTTTGTGTTTTTCTCTTTTTCCTCTTAAATAAAAAAAAAAAAAAAGATTGAAAGTATCAGTTTAGCCCATAAGTAAGTGTAGGGTCATTCTTGGAGTTTTTTCTCAGGCCCATCTCACAATGGGGCCAGTGGGCTTCACACCATTCTACAGCTGTTTTCACAACTTCAGAACTAACTCAGAGTAATTGGAGTCACTGCCCCCGAGCAGATGGCATAATTCCCTGAGGAGTGAAAGATATGGCGGGAAGGGTGAATGGAACTGGAGCATCATCTCCCAGGAAAGTGGTCCACCTAAAGCAACAGCGCTTTCCAAGAGGGGCTTTGGAGATCCACGCCACTGCCGAGGACTTGATAGCTAAAGGGTGAGGAATCCCACTATATCCCCACTCAACTCCTCTATTTGCTCTGAGCTGTAAAAAAGATGGGTTTTGGAAAACGACAGTAAATTGCAACCAGCTCAATCAGGTGCTGACTCACATTACTGCAACCATTGGCTCTGCCAAGTCACGTGGCTCAAGCAGGGACGATGGCACAGCACTCAGTTAGCACTGGAGAGCTTACTGTGTTCTGGTGCCCACTTAAAACTAGCAGATTTTCGGATCACTTAGGCAACCAGCTGGAAAAATGTACTCAAATATGGAAACTAGCACTTTCAGTTAGGATTTAGATCTAAAACGGCCTCCACGGGTCCTATGTTTTGAAGGTGATTGGGTCATGGGATCTTGCAGCCAGGTGTGCTGTCAGGAAGTGGCCTGCTTGAAGGGAGTCCCTGGGGCCCTGACCTGGAAGGCTGTGTTCTCATCCCTGTTCTCATCCCTGGCTCTTCTGTTTTCTCTGCTTCCTGGCCACCAGGGGTTGAGCAGCATTTCCATGACCTTCCACCATGACATTTTTGCCTCTAAGCCAACTGATCATGGACTGAAACTGTGACCCCAAATGAACTTCTCCTTCTTGAAGTTGGAGGGGCTGCATATTTTGTTTCAACCATGATCAAATGACTAAGACATCTTCAAAACCTGGAGAGAACTACTGGTGTTGGTGTCTTATATTTGTTTGAAAGGGGTCCAGATACAAAACTCTATCATTTACCTTATAAAGAATATCTCAACGTGACCCAAGTCATTTAAGACCATTGATTTTTCTTGAATTTATTACCCTCTCCCTGGTATTTAAATATTTTACTTCTACGTCTAGAGTAGTGTCATCTTTCTCACTAGGTCCAGTGAATGAGCATATTATCATGACTGTCATGGGTCATTGTGATCTTGTGGTTGGGAAACTTGAGTAAGATCCCTGAGAAGCAAATCACCACCTGTCTGAAGAGAGGACATAACCCTGAAGGTGTCTTTCTGGTTTTGTCAACTGAAAGAAAACTCCTCCGGCTGGTATTCATTAATAGGAATGAAAACACATTTTTGCCACCAAAATAATTGCAAACCAAGTACCAGAAGATGTGTTAATTGATGAAACAAGCAAAGGAAGTAACTAAGATTGATGTGTCTTGAAACATGTGAAGATATGTGTGTCCAACATGAATGCCCAACAAAAGACAGCCTCCACAGAGGGGTACATTTTGATTTGTTGATATTGTCATGCTGGGGATTGAACTCAGGGCCTCACATATGTTAGCCAAATGTTCTCCCATTAAACTAGATCCCCACCCCAGAGAAGGGGATTTTAAATATCAAAAAGATTAGCTAATTCATGGCATAGATACCTGTAAGTGTTTCTTCAGTCAACCAGTTATTGTGCAATAATCTCAGAGCCAACTGGCCATGGTGGCAGGGATGGGTATTATGCAATGACTAATCCACGTAGACTTCTAGTCATGTGGCTTCTACCTCCACCATGTGCCCCATCTGCCAACAGGAAAGGCCAGCACTGAGTCCCAGATATGGGCCCCACCTTGGGGAGATCAGGCAGCTCGCTGGGGCCAGATTAATGACATCAGAGAGTTTCAATCATGGTTTGGCAGTGCTCTTTCTTACTAGAATATGTGCTAATGATGAACACAGGTTTCCTTTCCCTGTGCACAGTAGTTCTATCAAAACTGTTACCCATGCCCTTGCAGGAACTCTTATCTACCATCAAGTTATCTGTGCAATATTGTTGCTTCACGAATAGGTATACAATGGTATTATTTCCCAGAAGGTCAAGTCGAGTAATAGGTGCAGGATCATGGAATTCACACTATCCTATGGCAGCAGGTGGGCTGGAAATGTAGAATGGTCCTCCAAAGACTCAGGGTGTAACTTAGGCTCAACATTTTGCAAGTTCTTTGCGAAGCTCCCTGGGAGAAAAATATATGCTAAGAATGAGCATTTGGAGTATGGCTCTGTTTCTTCCAACTGCCAAGATTCATCGGTTAGGGGATGAAAGTGGAAATAGTAGCAGTGGAAGGGAACAACATCCTGCAAGGAGGTTAAGGATCCTGTGGAATGGGAAGTTGAGATTGCTGCTCAGTGAATAATCTCTGGGCTCCTCATGTTTCTAAGTCAGCTCTGAAAAATACCACACAGCAACACAAAACTGTTTCAGTAACAACCTGAGTATCCCTTAATCCAGCCAAATTAATTCTTAAATAACAACACCAAATAGTCATATTGCATACAAATCTGGGAAAACTTGATGTCAGCCAAGTGTATTTAACAGCGTGACATGTGTCTGTCACTCATGAGCTTCTATCTGTCCTTTGTACTCACATTTGCATTTACGTGCTTTTCAAAAAACCTGCATAATCCCTGCAAACATCATTCAGCACAACTCAAGATGCATCAGCCATTACCACGTAGCTATTAGTTTCCGGACATAATATCTCTTTTATTAATGAGGAGGATTTTGAAAAGTTGAATGTATCACTACAAATATTTTATTTCAATATCAACCTCAAAGGGTAATGAAGTATTTGGAGAAGATCTGAGAAGAATGAATCCAGGTACAATGATTTTTACAAGGCTAGACTCAAACTCTTAAAGATGTTTCTGGCTCCAAAAAATGAATGCACGATTGATCTTTAAGAATGCACTCTTGACCTCCTTGTTCCTCAGGCTGTAGACCATGGGGTTCAGCATGGGGATGATCATTGTGTAGAACACGGATGCAATTTTGTCCGTGTCCATGGAGTGACTGGAGCTCGGCTGCAGGTACATGAAGATACTCGTCCCATAGAAAATGGAGACTGCCGTAAAATGAGAAGCGCAGGTTGACAGAGCCTTCTGAGCTCCTGTGCCTGAGTGCTTACTTAGGATGGTGACAAAAATGAAGACGTAAGATATCCAGATAATAAAGAAGGCAAAAAAGATGTGGAAGCTCACAACATAAATAAGAACCAGCTCACTGACCTGTTTCTCTGAGCAAGAAAGAACCATGACTGCTGGAATATCACAGAAAAAGTGGTGGACCACGTTGGAATTGCAGAAGGAGAGACTGAATGTGTCTCCAATGTGGAGGGTGGCATTGAGAAAGCCACAGGCATAGGAACCTAGGACCAGACCTGTGCACACATTTGTGGTCATGGTGGTGGTGTAATGCAACGGTTTGCACACTGCGGCATAGCGGTCATAGGCCATGACAGCCAGGAGGTAATTTTCCACAGTAACAAGGGCTGCAAGCAGGAACATCTGAGCAGCACAGGCATTGTAGGAAATGATCTTCTCTCCTAGAAGGAGCCCAGCCATGACTGTGGGAGTGACAGTGGAAGAGGAACAGAAATCCACCAGGGACAGATTTCCCAGGAAAAAGTACATGGGGCTGTGCAGACGGGAGTCCAGGAGGATGAGCAGGATCATCCCCAGGTTCCCAGCCACAGTGATGGTGTAGATGAGGAGGAAGGTGATGAAGAGGGGAAGCTGCAGGTGGGGGTCAGAGGTCAGTCCCAGCAGCAGGAACTCTGTCACCTCTGTCCTGTTCCCCATCAGTGCTGTCTAGGAATCTCTGGATGTTCTGTAGCAACCTTTAAAAAAACCCAAAAGGATAAAGAAATTGAATTGAAACTGGAAAATATGGGTATGATATATTTTCTTTCATTGTGGCTGTACAGTGATTTATTTGCATTGAAGTTTTCCAGGAAAAAGCATTTTCTTGAAGACCAATTTTATTCTATTAACTACTGGTAGATCTATAAGCTTTGTAATCAGGAGAATTTTAATGGATCATGTGGGATATTTATAAATTAGTTAATTTGTAAAGTGTCGATGTCCGCTCCCGGCCGGCAGGAAGGACACACGACAAAGTCTGGTAGTGGACAACCTTTTCTTTTTATTTTCCTTCTCCGTACAGCCTGCCCTGGGTTCTCCCAGCTGAAGCCTCCTCTGGTCCGCTCCCCGCGGCTCCTTTTGTGCTTCAGTCTGCCCCAAAGCCTCTACCGGTCCGCTCTCCGCGGCTCCTTTTGGGCTTCTACTTCCGGGCTTCTACCTGGCTTCTTCTTCCGCCCAGGGGTGGCACCGGTATATATACGGGTACAGTGTCCAATCATGTTAAAGTAAGCAAGGCAAGCTGATTGGCTAACATCATCAGTTGCCAGGCAGACTATATTGTTGAGCGGGTTGTTTACGCGGTAAGCAGGAAACTAACATATTCGATGGGAGGGGTAATCTACCTCAGGCTTTGCTCTTTACCACAGGCCGCACGTCCGCCGCGCAAGGCGAGCTATCACAGACGCGGCTCCCAACATCTCCCCCTATTTTATTTTTTATGAATGTGCGCATCGTAGCCCTTCCTGGACTGGGTGCAGAGGCTTATGCCCTATGTGTAGGCCCACCGTAGGTCCTTGGCTTAGACCCTGGTTGGCCATGCCATGGTCTGCCAAGGCCCTGAGGCCCTCGTCCTTTTTCTAGGGCCAGGCACAAACTGGACGGAACCTGGATGCACACAAGCTTGCACTCATTTCCTCTCCGTAAAGAAATCCCCTCGGAGAGAAATTTAGACCTGGGCAGCATCTAACAGTCCAGCGGCTTACGTGCAGGATGGGGTAGGGCCTGGCTTAGGTCGAGTCGTGCTGGGGAGGCACGCTCTTACCCGTCATTGACTCACCTACCCTGCTGTGTATTGTCACCTTATGGAGGAGAATGAGGGATGCCCGCCATATCTAGACTCGGTCGTGGGCCGATTGAGCAAGCCATGCATATGCCTGAGGATCTTCTTGTCCATTTCGGGCTACCGCTATTTCTATTCATCTTATTGGTTGGTCTGTGATGGATCTCCAGTAGGGCAGGTCTGATCTTCAGTCGAGGGCTTTGTTGCCCGTGTCAGTCTCTCCGGTATCCACAGTGGTTCTCGTCCCGGTTCCTGTGGGAAAACACAAACCGCGCCTCGGTTCCAGCTGACCACTGGATCCGGGCCCATCCATTGTCCTGCCATAGATAACCGCGCCTTTGGAGGCAGGCCTTGGCTTACTCCCCCTTTTTGTTTTTTATTTTTTATTTTTTATTTTTATCTTTTTTTTTTTTTTTTTTTTTTTTTTTTATTGGTACCAGGGATCGAACTGGCGATTGCCTGCTTACAAGGCAGGCGCTTATGCCGCTAAGCTAAATCCCCAGCCCCCATTTCCTCGACCGGCGTTTTTCTCAGCCTGCTCGGCAGAGAACTCTGTGTACCAGGCTCGCCAATCCAGGTAACTACCCGAGGGCAGACACGCCTTTGTCAGCTGAATCCAGTCCGCGGGGGTGAGGGGCCCAGAAGACAGATTCTCCAGCATGGCAATGGTGTAAGGCGCAGTCGGCCCAAAGGTTGTAACTGCATTTTTAAGTTTTCTAATCTGCTTTATCTCAAAAGGCTCCCATACATTGCGTCCCTGGCCCATAGCTACTTGTATAGGAAATATCCCGTAGGGGCCACTATCTATCCCAGGTGGATGTACCTCATGAGACAAGCGTCCCCCCTGCCAAAGCCGCCTGTAAAAATACCGACCCGCCGGCGGCGGAGCATAAGACAGCGGCCGTGATTGGGCGGAAAATGGGGGCCCGTGCATCACTTCCTGTTCTGGCGAAAGGGGAGAGAGTTCCCAGGCGGCCGCCTCGTGGCGAGGAATCGCCTCCGGAAACGGCCCCCAAGGTGGGGCGGAAGGCTTCGCCTCCCTCTCGCGCCGGGGAGCGCTCAGGAGCTCTCTACTCCTCCGCAGACCAGGTTGAGCAGAGCGCAATTCGCGGGGCAACGCTGGAAAAGAACCCTGCGACTCCTTATTGAGCGACTTAGGCTCCTGACAGCTGGTCTCTTTGGCCTCCTTGCCATTCAACTTTCCCTCGTCCTCGGAGTCAGACGACTCCGAGGCTAGAGCCCCGTCCTCCTCCTTAGCATCCTTGTTCCCCTTGACGGACCCCTCTCGGGAGCTCCCTGACTGGGCCTGCTCAGATACCCTGCGTACTTTTGTAAGCTCTTGAGAGCTTTCTCCACAACCACCCTCGCTCTTAGTGTTGCTACCTAACATGTTTCCCATCTTTTAATATGTTACTCACCGCGTGAGGCCCAAGGAATCCGCCACTTACGCGTGAGCCTGAGGGGAGTCTAAAAGCCCTGTAGGTGCGCGCCACCCAGAGCCCAGGCTTATCCCCAACTCACCTGTCTCGCAGCTCTGTACTGGAGCGTTGTCCACTTCCACGTCTCGGGGGTGATCAGTCCCCGGGCGGGCCTCCAAATGTCGATGTCCGCTCCCGGCTGGCAGGAAGGACACACGACAAAGTCTGGTAGTGGACAACCTTTTCTTTTTATTTTCCTTCTCCGTACAGCCTGCCCTGGGTTCTCCCAGCTGAAGCCTCCTCTGGTCCGCTCCCCGCGGCTCCTTTTGTGCTTCAGTCTGCCCCAAAGCCTCTACCGGTCCGCTCTCCGCGGCTCCTTTTGGGCTTTTACTTCTGGGATTCTACCTGGCTTCTTCTTCCGCCCAGGGGTGGCACCGGTATATATACGGGTACAGTGTCCAATCATGTTAAAGTAAGCAAGGCAAGCTGATTGGCTAACATCATCAGTTGCCAGGCAGACTATATTGTTGAGCGGGTTGTTTACGCGGTAAGCAGGAAACTAACATATTCGATGGGAGGGGTAATCTACCTCAGGCTTTGCTCTTTACCACAGGCCGCACGTCCGCCGCGCAAGGCAAGCTATCACAGACGCGGCTCCCAACAGTAAAGCAAGATGGAAACTATTTAATAATTTTAAAATAACTGTATATCCTTATCTATAGATCATGCAGCTCCTTGGGATACTGCAAAAGCCGACTTCCACATTGCTCATCCAAGGATGGATATTGCCCGCCCAGGACAGAAGTGTGTTCCTGCTTGCTGTCAGCAAGCCTGAGAATTTGTCTTTCACATTTAGATAATCGTTGATCACAAGACATTGGGTGATTCCTTCATATTTTTATAAGTATTAAATGACAATCTGTACTCTGGACCCTGATTGAACTGTGGCCAATGGTGAGTGGATCCTAACTGTCAGAATTGAAAGTGCATCAGTCAAATCAAATGGAACGCCTAATTACTCCTCATATTTTGTTCCAGTCTCATAAATTCCAGTGAAAAAAGTGGCTGCTTCACAATGTGGCAATTTAGTCTTATTCAGTGTATATTTGCTTCTCAAATAAGTGAAGCTAACGAAGAAAAATCAGAATGAAATGATCACTGCACCAATGACAAAACTACTTTATTTTTAATTAATTAGTTAATTAATTTTAAAGAATCTATAACCAAGTAAAATAAAACAGAATAAAACCAAGCAAAATAAACCAGTATAAGTGATACAGGACTTCAAAACCTTATGAAACCAAACATAGTTACCATAATGCCATTTGTTGTCTTTAAAATAGCTTCAGGGGGTTGGGGATTTAGCTCAGTGGCCTAAGCTCCTGCCTTGCAAGCACGCACGCATGAGTTCAATCCCTAGTACCGATTTAAAAAAAAAAAAGAAGAAGAAGAAGAAGAAAAAAGCTACAGATACCTTCTGACATAGTAAAGATTAAGCAGAACAGAACAGAATAGAAAGATTAAAAAAATAGTGAATGCAATAAAGGACTTCAAAATTAGCAATTGTAAATTCAAAGTAGTTACTGTAATATGTTTTGCTGCCTTTTAAATAGCTGCTCATGCTATCATATTTAACATAATCAAATGAAACAAAGAAGAATGAAACCCAACACAACAAAACAATGAAAATAATATGATTTCTAGGCATAGATCACCTCCTGGTGAGGCCCAGTTCCTAACTCTGCAGCCTATGAATGTCCCTGACTCATGAAGAGAGGCTTAGTTCTTTCTGGCTGTTCCCACTCCCACAGTGGCAGTGGCCCATGCATGGCACTGGTTTCCGGGTGGGGATCACCTCCTGGTGCAGCCTAGTTCTCTCCCTCAAAATGCAACTGACTCCAGCAAAACTGCTTTCAAGAGTTAACAGATAACTAGTTTTCCAAACCCCATTTGTTGAATAAAATCAAAGTGGATCACAGATCTAAACATTAAAACAGAAGAAAACTCTTTGGATGGTAAAAAGGTAAAACATTTGGAGATACAGGTGTAGGAAAGGATTTTATAAACAGATTCAATCACATAATGGTAGCGCAAGAATCAGCAAATGGGATTATATCAGACTAAAATCAATCAGAGTGAGGAGTCAACCCACAGAACAGGAGAAAATTTTTGCCAGCTAATCCTCAGACAAAAGACTAATATCTAGATTATGCAAAGAATTAAAAAAATTAAACCACCTAAAATTAAAGATCCAGTCAAGAAATGGGCAAGAGAAATGAATAGACACTTCACAGAGAAAGAAATATAAACGGTCAACAAGTATATGAAAAAATGTTCAACATCCCTGGCCATTGGAGAAATGAAAGCTAAACAATGCTGAGATTTTATGTTAGTCTGGAAAGATGGAAATCATTAAGGAATCAAATAATGACAAATGCTGGCATGGCTGTGGTGAAAGGCAC